GCACACATAATCTTCAGAATTAGCATTTTGTGCCTTGCAGTACCTTTGGGAGAAGAGCTTTTATTTGTGGAGTGATCATTATTATAACAAAGAAGAGCTACCTAATAATTTCCACTTTAACTCTGCAATATGCCACGAGCGTTTCTGAACCATTATGCTAAACTGTGGCGGGGTAATCATTTTATTGTCACAGTTTGAGGGAAGAAAAATCCCTGTGTATCAGTAGCTGGGAAGTGTGGGAACACAGGAACACACTGCAGCACACAACAAAAAACTTTTCCTTTTTTTGCTCCCCATGTGCTGGAGTGGGTACCTGCCATCCCTTGTATGGGAGGTGATAAGATTTTAACAATGTGTACGTTGAGAAAAATGAAGATTTCATAAGAACGTTGTTTTCCTTGGAGCCATTAAGATTTTTCCTCATAAATCCTTAATGTTTCTTGATAGAGCCCTTAGCTTTGAAGCCAGTGGCAGATTCCCAATGGCCTCAGTAAGTTTGGGATGGCAGAATCTCCTCTGCCACCTCTGTGTGTGAGCCTGGCCCTTGGGAGCAGCACGGTGGGACTGTCACGGGTGGGCTCTGACTTGCCCTGGTGCTGTGCAAAGAAGGAGAGCAGCTCACTGAGGCTCCCAGCCCTCAGGCCATTTCAGCAGGAGGAGGATGTGGCCACATCGCCCTCAGTGAGGAGCTGCAGGTCCTGCTGCAGCTGCAGGGAGATGTTTGGTTTTCCCTCAGCCCAGCTCTTCTGAGAAAACACAATCAATGTGACTCACACCAAAGAGTCTGAAAATCCTGTCTGATAGCTGGGCTGCCAAACTCTTTGGTTCTTATTGTAGTTGGCTTCCAGCTGTTCATTCAACAACAACAAGAGAAAAGTTTACATATGTAGGAATGAGCAATTATTCTTTTTTTTTTTTTTGTTATAATTCTTCCCTGGACCTAAAGTATGTTCATGTTATCAATCATGTACACTTCACTGCCTCGATTAGGACTGGTCTAAAGTCCTTCACTGTATTTTTTTTATCAGTGAAGCTTCAGACTTGGACTAAAAATTCTTTTTCTACAGAAAAAGTTAAATTTTATGTAACCTTTTTTTCTATTTGTTTTAAAAACACCATTTGAGAAATTATGCTTTGGGGTTACAGAAGGGCATGAGAAGTGATAATATTTTGAAACAAAACATTTTGTTTTTCTTGGAGGTATTGAAAAGTGTTATAGTTAATTCCAGGTAGAGATTCTGGAACATGGCATTCTGAAAAAAAAAAAAAAAAAAGAAAAGTTCTGTATTTTGGTTTGTCTTCTGACCAAAACAAAATGTAGGAAAATCAAGGCCTCCAGTGAAAAGATTATTCTCCTAGCTCTGTTTTCCTAGGGTTGCACAGAAGTAAACACCTTCCAGACAGTGCTTTGAAAGTTGCCAAGTGATTAAGAGCAGAAGTATGAAGAGCTGAGGGCCTGAGCTGGCCAGACATTTGTACCAGGGGCAGAAATAGAGCTGAGGTCACTGCCTTGCCCCCTCCCAGTGTTACCTGTAGTGATGCTGCCAATGGGACCCAATTCCATCCTCCTTGGTGCTCCAAGCAAAGGGCCTGGGAAGGACAAAGTTTTAGACAGACCAGTGTCCTGAATGACACTGGTTATTGCAAATATGTCATTGTATAAACACGGGTTGTGCCCTCAAAAACAGGTAGCAGTCTGGATGCCTCCCTCAGCACGTCTTCCTTGGGATGCAGCCCTTCAGAGCCACTTCCCCGGCTGGGCAGCAGCTCCTGCAGCCCTTCCAACCTTTACAGACACTTAAAATAAGAGAGGTTGTGTGTGGAAAGCTGGGGAGTCCCTCTGGTTTTTGTGACATGGGAAATAATGAAATATTTTGGGAATGCACAGTGTTCTTGCTCCATCTCAGGCTGGGCCTGCAAAGGGCACCATCCTGCCCTGGTGATTAAACCACCAACTCCTGACTTTTTATCCTCAGACGAGATGTCCTGGGCTATTGCCAGCAGGTTTGATGAGGCACTGATTCAGCGCAATTTTTACATATTTAAATAAAGTGCTATGTGCTGTTGGTCACAGTGGCTTTGCAGGTGAGAGTGTCCCAGTGAAGAATTCACAGCCCCAGCTCGGCAGAGAGCTCTGAGTGTCTGCCTCAGTCCCCCTGGCTCCCATGGATGGGACTTATCACATGTTTGATATGAAGCAAATACAGTTATAAAATATTACAATCAAATACATGAGGCATCACAGACAGGACAGCAACTTGAACCTCTGAGTGCAATGTAGGGAGCACAACAACAACTTTTTGGTGGGGTCCTGTAACTGCACAAGAATATCTTGCATTCACTTTAAAGATTACTTAAATCTATAATTTTCAATTGTAGAGTCATTTATGTTGGAAAAAAACTCTAAGATTGAGTCCAACTCTAAACCCAGCACTGCCAAGCCCACCACTGAACCATGTCCCCAAGTGCCACATCTACATGGCTTTTAAATACCTCCAGGGATGGTAACTTCCCTGGGCAGCCTCTTCCAGTGCTTGACAACCCTTTCAGCAAAGCCTGCATATGTTTTCTGTTAATGGCTTATGGTCTCAAATAGTTTTTATTCACTGGTATTTAGGAAAAAAAATGTTGCTTGTAGTCTTTAAGAAAAGTAGCTCATTCTCTGACACATGGGAAACTGATTATCTCTGGGTTTTATTGTGGGGGGTATGTGTCCACAATCAACTGGGAATACTGGAAAGGGTGTAATTTGGGAGTGACTTTAATTTTTATTTATGAAAAAGTTTGATTCTGTGAAAGGGTTAGATGGCATTTTGAAAAGCTGCTTTCACTGTAAATCTGTTGCTGTGAGCTTGGCTGAAGGAAAAGCATTTGCTTTTGGACATCTCAGTGGTTTTTATGCACAGTTTTATGCAAGTAATTTGAATCCAAATTAAACATATTGAAGTTACTTCTGTGCGCGCGCTACGTTTTCGTGACGGTAATGTCAGGATGTTTCTTTTGTTAGCTCATGTAAAAGTTAATGGCTGTGCTCTGCCAAGTTTGGAGCAGGGTAATGATTTTTTTTGCTGCCTGTTTGTGTTTTTCCCTGGAGCTGGCATCCCCATCAGCTTAAGTAGTGGAAAAGTTTGTTCTGACACTTGCAACCTTTTGTAGGTAGGGCTGGGGTCGGTTTGCTCCCCATCTGTGCCTGCCACCACCAGTGGTGTGAGGCTGGGGCAGCGCTCACAGAAACACTGCTCAGGGTGACTCAACTGCTCCTTTTCCAGCTCCCTCCTCTTCCCAGCTCCCCACCCACCCTCCCTGCCCAGGGGCTGGGGGGAAGGAGCTTCCCAGCAGCCACACTGGCTCTCACCATCAGCTCCAACCAACCAGAACTTCACTGAGGAATCATAAAGATGCACTGGGTCTCTTTAGCACTTTATGTCTGGAGCATTTTGAGTTAGGCTTCTGTGAATTAATTAATTTCCTGTCTTTACAATTAGAAGAATTTAGGACAGGGGCTGTGCCTCATTAAGTAACTCACTACATTGCCAGGCTGAGTAACTCATGAGGGTAAGGGTTTTATGCTGGATGGTGCTAACACACAGTGGTTTTAATATCCCCATCTTCCTACTAAGTCCTTACCTGAGGAAGTGCCTGAGTTCTCTTCCTTGAGTACATCATCAAATAATCAAAGTTACAAACCAAATTAACAGCTCAATCAGCCTTTCCATCAAGCAATTCACAGCCAAATGGCACCAACCCTAAATTTGGGCAGTGGTACCCATTCCTGAGTTTGCAGTGCAGCCTCTTCCCTCTGGCATCATATCTACAGGAAAGAATAATTCTTTCCAGCACTGAGGTTGGCTGGTGGAGTTATGCTGCTCCTTGAACCTGTTTTCCATGAATAATGAAATTGTTGAGGTACCTGCTTTACTCAAAATGTTATCTAACATTACCAATGCCATACTCTCATCTCATGCAAGGAAAAGTTGGTAGCATCTTGGGTGAAGTTGCTTCTTTCCATCAACCTGTGTGACCACCCTGAGGCTCCACAGCAGAGTGGAGGAGCAGGAGTGGAGTTACCCAGGGCTTTCTACCTATTTTTACAGTAATGTTATTTCTCTTGCTTCAGCACTGTTAAGTTCCAAGGTGAACCTGTGCTGCAGAGGAGGAGAATCAATATGTGAATGTTTATACTGCCCCAGCCCACCAATATTTAGACTGCTTCTGCCTACAAAATCTTAAAACAGAAGCTCTTCATCCAAGATTTGAGCAGCACTTGAGTTTTCAACATCCTCTCAGAGGCTCTGAGTAGACACAATGCCAAGAAAGTGGCTGTGAGGCTCCATGGATGTGGCAAAATGTGTTGCACACACATCTTGTTTATCCTGTAGATGCAATACAACTGGAATGACTGGATGGCAGCTGTGGCTTTTGGTTGTGGGGTGTTGTTTTTTTTCTTTGTAGTAGCCAAAGCATTAATCAGGGCAGCATGGTTTAATACTGAACAACCTGGATCTGATTGCAGAACAGTTAGAGAAATGCTGAGGGTTACACCCTTTTTTATTTTGCCAATATTTTCCATAATATTTATGGGAGTTTCCTTGGTGAGTTTGGGTTCTGATGGATAATAAAGCAAGCTTACTGGAGATTGTTTTATTAACTTAGGTCTTGTGCATTTCATATACAATAAAAAAAGGGATGTGTCCTGATTTCCAATTGGTCTCTGCCCATCATGCTGTGATTTTTTTGCTAATGTAGAATTAAAAAAAAAAATCTTTTTTTCAATGCAGATAATAAAACCAAACAGAAATTAATTAAGGAAAAAAAATGCTTCCAAAGATAGAATTTGAGGTCATGCATATGTACTACAAAGAATGTGATTGCTGAAATCTTTATGTTAGTAAGGGGGGGAAATGAAAGCTCCTTTTATTTTATTTTTCTCACGTCTTCTATCATTAAAATCCAGTTCTAACAGCAGAATACTTCTCTTTTTCATGTGTGTTGAAAAGCAGCTACACCATGTATCAAAGCCATCAGTCCAAGTGAAGGATGGACTACAGGAGGTGCCACTGTCATCATCATAGGAGACAATTTCTTTGATGGGTTACAGGTCATATTCGGCACCATGCTGGTTTGGAGTGAGGTAGGTGTTGTCTCATAGCTAATGTCTCACAGCTTTGTCTCCTTGTAGCCAGCCTGTCCTTTCTCTGGGCCACATGCTAAATCAGCAACAAATGTCGACACACGAATCCTTGCCTTGCTCTGTTTTATGAAAATAATTAGTCAAATTTACCTGTGGCAGGAACCCATTATAGCCAGGGGAATTTGCATCTTCTTGTGCTGGCCCAGAATTTAGCTCAGTGGGTTTTATTCCACGGAAAGGGGAGGATAAAGGCCTGTGTGAATAATTCTGTGTTTAGCACTACAATAGCTAAAGGCCCACAGGAAACAAACATTTAGGTGATCCCACTTTCCAGGTAAACTGGCTGCTGGTAGCTGCAGCTCAGTGAGATGGAGATTGCAGAATTCAGCACCTCTGAACAGCATATCCCTAAAGCCTGGATACTTGCTGTAAATATCATTTTCATAGCAGCAAACAAATGCACTGTGTTGTATCCACAGTGGACTCTTCATACCTAAAAAGGGCCCCTGTAGTTTCACAGGAACCCTTTCCTTGTTTCTTATCCCTTTTTGTTTTGTTTTTTTTTTTTTCTTTCTGTTGTTATTCCTCCCAGCTCCTTAAATCCTTTCTTTTCCCAGGACATAATTAATGGTGGAACCTGACATTCCCCAAAAATCTGTGGAAAATTAAAACCCAGGCAGGTTTTAACCCCAATGGCCATGGCCAGGGCTATAGAAACCATGGCAGAGTTCCCCCACTGGCACAGGGAGACAGATCCAAGGAAAGGTTTATATTTTGAACTTAGGGCTTTCCAAAAGCATTTTTAAAGTTTAATAAGAAATTGTAATTTTCATTATTTTAATACTGAAAAAAAACCCCAGCCTCCCTGAGATATCTAAGCAACACTTTCCAATGGTGAGAGGGTTTTCTGATGCTTTACCTTACATCCTGTAAATCTTAAATCAACACCACAGCTTAATTTATATCCAGCACATTCCCCCTACTGATTCCATGGCACATACGGCAGCATTTTTTCCATGTGAAGAGTATTCTCTAATGTCCTTCACTATTCTCTCTCTCTCTCTCATCCTTCCACTTGAGGACAAGTGTGGATGAAAGGGCATTCCAGAAAAGGAGAGATGGTAAATGAGCCCTATTCTGAAGCCCTTATGTGATCATGAAAGTGCCCCCTGGGCCCAGTGTAAGCATTTTGAGTGTTAGTGTTGAAGCCATTATGGCTGCAGACGTTTAGCAGGGAAAGGTGAAGGGGCTGGCAGGAAACTGCTCCGATTCTGGTGCTGCAGAATTGGATCTTTCATTATAAATCTTGATTCTATTTATTAGTGGAAGCCATTAATTGTCAATTTCTAATCTCAGGAGACTGAGTGCTGGTCAAAACATTGTTGCTGATGTTCGCAAGGCCTTGTCATGGAATTAATAATGTTAGAGGAGGTCCGGACTGAAGCCAGTCTGTTGTCTGGGAATGCTGCAATGGGCTGCAACTCTTTCACTGCCTCCCTCTTACAGAACAGCTTCTCATTTCATAACCTATGAGAGCAGTCAAAAATCATATAGGAGAAAAAAACATTCTTTCTAAAAGAAGCAGACAAACACGGTAAACAAGTGCAGAAATGCATGAGCTGAGTGATCCCTAAATAATAGTGATCTATAAATAATTCAAGTTACACATACAAGCCACCTATGAAGTACAAAATAAGTTCTTTCATTTGCCTTCCCATTTCTAAAAATGTCTAAGGAATTTTCAGTACCCAAGAAGAACATTTTTATTTTACTTTAATAGAGTATAAAATTGAACTGTCAAACTCTGAATCTGAGTCCATTACAAAACTGGAGCAGGCTCATCCTGAGTTGCCAGTAAGGCCCAGTTATGAGCAAACTCAGCCAGGTTATTTTGTCATTGAATTCTGGACAAATTTTAAAGTTCATCCTGCTGTTTCATGGATCCAAACAAAACATAATTTTAACTGGGCTTCAGAAAATCTCAAACAAAACCAGATATGCAGAGACTAAAGAAAAAGAATGAGTCTTGCAGAGCATTTTCATGTGGATTTTTCCAGCTTCAGTTTCAGCTATAATTGCAGGTGGTTTGGGGGATGAAGTCTAATATTGAAATTAAGCATCATTTTGCTACAGACTTTGCATGGGACCTTGGGCAAATCGTATAATCTACTTAAAGTTCAATTCCCTTTCTCTAAAACAGTAATAAGATTAGTCACCTTCTTTGGAGAGGTGCTGTGAAGGTAATTATCATAAAGGTCCTATATTACTCAGACTTGATTATAGCAAAATCCATGTAAATACCTGAGCTGCATGGATATTTAAAATATAAATCTTACCCTAATTCAGAAGTAAAGTTAAGAGTCAAAAAACCCCAAACAACTCCCTTTTAAGAGTGAATTTGTTGCTGTCAAGCAGCATGTTATAAATAATTTGAAATGTAAATAATATATTTTTAATTTATTTTACGTGTATTCAAGTTTTGTAATTGAAATATTTATATGCTTGAAATGGAGTTGACTGTGTTAAAAAAGGAGTTTTGAAATGGTTTCTGAAACACATATTTATTATTTAAACATATATTTTAGCTGTAAACACTCTAACATAATTGCAACCTTTCTCAGCCAGGGAGAACTAAATAAAAACTTAATTTGTCACATTAATTTTGAGCAGAAATGCAGATACCCTAAGCCAGTAGGTTCAATTAATCCTTACCTCCCATATTACTTTAGAAAAAATGACTTTAAAAGCCCTTGGTATTTTTAGAATACAGCAGAATGGGCTGTCTAATGCCTTTTTCTTTCCAAGGGACTTTCGTAACCGCCAAGCAAACAGCGCTGCTCTATCGTGTGCACATGCTGGGTGTGCTCAGAGCCTCCCAGCAAACATTGTGTGTGCCAGACAGGCTCTGCCGCCTGTCTGTGCCGTGCACACTCACATAGAGCTGCAATTGGGGGGTTTCACCAGGTTCTGGGTCCCTGTGTGGTCACAGATATTCCAAATCAGCCCTGCTGATAAGAACCCTTCTTGTTTCTCTCTCCCGTTGGGGTGCTCAGACTCTAAGAGTCGACTTGCAGGGCAAATACATGATTGTGAAGACAAAATTAGTTTCTTATAAATATTCCACAATATTTGCTTAAAATGAACTATTTCTTCAAACATTTTTCTGCCAAGAACATTCCTGCAGCTGTACAGAGTCAGCTGGAAACAACTTCTTTTTCTTTTATATTAAGAAAAGATGAAGCACTGAAACATCTTTTTTTTTTTTTTTTTTTTTTTTTTACCTTTGTACAGCACAAAAACAGAGGATGATTTTTTTGGTTTGGTGGCTTTTTTGTGTATATATTTTTTTTTTTTTACTGCTGCTGAATCGAATTCTGTGACACAGTTTGTTATTTTGCTTTTTATGTTTGTTATTGATTTTGGAAGTCTCTGGCTTTGAGTGCTTATTTTGGAGCTCTGATTCATTTTTAAAAAATGAGTAGGCACCCTCTTTTTGCAAACCAAGGCTTATTAAGCAGCATCTGGATGCCCAGAATGGAGGCATGCAAAGTCATTGGTTGTTTTTTAAAATATAGGTACCCTAAGGGTTCTGTTCTCACTGAAAGCTGTCATTACCTTCAGTTGGTGGGATTTTTCTTCATTCCTGTTCTAATGGTCCTCTTCACACAGAGTCAAAGTCAAATTTATGACTGATTGTCACCATTTCCCTAACCACAAACCAGAGCTCAAGCATGCAAAAATAAACTAGTGACTCAGATTAATGACATCTCCTTATAAAATGTCACTTTTAAAAAAAGAAAGTAACCTGGCACTCTGAAGAGTGTGAAATGATGCTGTATCACACAAGAATGCCTAGAATATATTTGCAAACCACAGAAAGAGGCTTGTTGTACACACTCAGCCCAAATGTGTTTTGGATTTTGAAGGCCAGGCACCACCCACCATTCAAAAGATCCCTAGCTCAGGTTTTAGTGCAACCCCACTGTATGTCCCAGCTGACATGTAAGAATTTATACCAAACAGCAAATGCAGTTGCTAAGTATCAGGCCAAATCACTTGAAAATCCCTGGGGAGAAAGGTCCAGTTACTAATTTTATGTCCAGCTCCATTTCTCAATTTACTAAATGCTGGAAAGGAGGAGGAAGATGGATCTGGGAATTTTGTCTGCTGGGTTCATGTCCAAATCACAGGTTAATGCCTTGCTCAAGATTTATATTTAAAAAATAAATTCAGAAAGGGGCATAACTCAAATTTAGGGATTCTTGGTTCTTGGCATGTTGTTCTTTTCTGTTCATCCACCAAGAGTTCCCAGGTGAGGTGAGGGTTCACAACTGGCCCTGCTGGGTCACACAGGGAGCTCCTCTGCCTCAGGGTCTTGTGTTTGTCACTGGGCAAGGACAGATGCCTAAAAACAACAAGGTGAACAGGTCATGATGCTTCCCCAAAGCTCTTTACCAGTCTCCCCCTCTTTGGGGCTCAGAGGCATCCAGAAGTGTGTCTTTACTTTTAATATCCCTGGGTGGTAATAGCTCACCTCTCCCAGAGGCTTTGCATGTAAATATGAGGCAGACTGTGCCCTGAAGAAGGAACAGGCTATGTCAGTGTGAAAGGAGAAAAGGTGGAGTAGGTTCCCCATATCAGGCCCCAGGTTGACAGGAAAGCATCCCATAATCCTGGAGTTATGGAAGGCAGGGGCAGATCTGTGGGGGGGCTTGGACTGCCCAGAGATGTACAGCACCAACTGGGTCACTTGGATGGCAAATCAGAGTCAGGATAATTTGGAGAGCTGCTCCCAGTCCATAGCAGATCCTGGCAGAGCTGTGGAACCAGAATCTGAGACCCAAGGTGGGAGGTTTCAACATTTTTTGTCCCTTAAAGCCAATCTCCTGCTATGACAGCAATCTAGGGAACTCCTGGTGTGTAACCAAGCTGCCCAGTTCCCTCTGTGTGCAGGAGACCTGAGGGCTGACAAAGGCCCAGCACCAAATCCCTGCCAGTAGTCAATGACAGATGTCATGGAGAAAAAGCAAAAGGAAAAGGAACATGTATTCTCCTGGTATACCTCCCAAGCTTTAGTTGTAGGGAAAAGAGGAATAAAATGCATCCTGAGTGTCCTAAACCATAGGACTTCAGACATAATGTTCACCCTTTGGGAATGTGTGGGCGACATTATTGTATATTTGTGGTTTTAAACACAGTTAAACTTATTTACTTCAGAGCACAAAGGAAAACCAAACTGTTTGTGGAGAACAAACCAGGAAACTTGCTTAACTCTCCCCAGCTCTCTGTAACAATGGACCATAAATAGGTCAGACGTTTCTTGGGAACCAGGGAAGATGAGTATTGGAAAATGCCACAAATTATGTTTAAAGAACATTAAAGTGGTGACAGACCAGTAAATGCTGGGAAATTCAAAGATACAACCAGAAGCTGCCTGTATAGCTCATGCCAGAATGGGGGTGAGGGATGCAAGGCTCATGCTGGTGTAGTAAGATGAGTGTGTTAACCTTTACTACTAAAATCCTTTGCTGTTTTTACAAATATTTTTTCCCCAAAATTTTTTCTCATCTTGCCAGTCCATCCAGTTAACCAGAACCACTCGAGGATGGGATTTGTCTCAGTTATGTTTGGCTGCTTACAGTTGAGCAAATGGTCTAAGCTTGTCATGTTGGTTCAGTGGGGAAGGGTCAGAGCTTCCAGGGATGGCTCATCCCAATGTGAGAGGTGTCTGAAGCACTAGAAATCAATTGCTGCTTGGCACTGCCTTCTGCCTCTGCTGGCTTCTTAGGGCATGGAGAGAATTGGCCTGGACTTTTAGGCTTTGGTCAGCTCAACTGCAAGACAACTCAGTTTAAGTAAAAGCATTCTGTGGAAGTTTGGGGTTTGGTTTTGGTTTTTGTTTTAATTTTTAGGTTTTTTCCCAAATTGGTAAAGTGAGCAATTTAGAAAAAAAGGCAGGTTTCTTTTAAAAAGTAAGTGAGTTTCTAAACCACATGATTCCAAAGCAGAGCCTGCAAACATACTTTTGGAGCTCCCGAACAAGAAGACATCAACCCCTACATGATAATTTCTGAAATGACATGTGGCTTCTGACTTCTGTGGATCTGAATAACTTTTGGAGCATTTGATGCTGGTAGTTTTGGTTTGAACGTTCAACTTGATTTAATATTAATTTTCTTATTTTAAATATGGAGAGCTCCCTACTGTGTGTGCCATTTCCCTCTGTAGCACAGATGGCTCTCAGACAGATATTGCTCTCCTTCTGTGCTCTTTTTTAGTCCCATGCCCTAAACAAAGAACTGGATCAAAGTCTGGGGTTTTTTTGGTAGGGCCTTACTACAGTGCTGAAACATTTGGTTCCTAGTAAAAATAAGAACAAAATAAGCTTTTTATAAAAAAAAAAAAAAAATCTATTGAAATTTATTCCTTAATCCAGGACATGATTTGACCAAGAGCATAGAGCAGTTGACTGCAAGGGGTGCTCACACTTTGCTCATAACCTGTCAAGCCAGGTTATGGTCTTGGTTTTATTTGCCTCTCTGGAGGGACATTAATGTGCAGAGAAGGATTATCCATGTGCCAGAGCTGTATCTTGATTGTTGGACACAATCCTGCCATCTTTTCTCTGAACCTCTTTTTACTGCTTTTTCCAAGGGAGCGCAATGAGTGAGAAGAGGACATTTTGGTGATGGGGAAGACAATGCTGTAGCTTCTGAGAGCAGCAGAGATTTGAGTTAATCTTGCTCTGAATTAATGAACTCCTATATAGCTGTGCTACTCATTTGAGGGACCACATTTTAAATCCAGCCCAGAATCCTGAAAAATCAAAAATAGTCGAGAGCCTGGAAAGTGCAGCCCTCACCCACCTCAACTTTTGTGCCAAGAGCATCAGAATCCCCTGCCCCTATAAAAAGAAAGTCAAGTTTATTTATTGATTTCTGTGTAAATCCACACCTGAAGAAGCCCCCTCAGAAGTGTGTCAGTTATTGCAGTGAAGGCAGACTGGAAGTGATGGTTAGATGGTTTTCTTTGGTACATCATTTTTGAGTGCTCTCATAATTTTGAAGGAAAGATCCAGCATCCTTTGGAAGCCAAGATTTGCATTTCTACAGGAATCAGTTACACCTCCACAAAATGAACAGAAAATTAAAACAGTAGCACAGGGTGCTCTGCCAGTGCACAGATGTCAGCTGGGGACTGGAGTATTTAAAACCTTGGACTTGCGCTGTGCCATGTTCACACGTGTAACCATGTGTCATTTATGGATCTGATTTGTTGGACACTGTCATGACCCCAGAATTCATCTGAGCAAAGTGTCCTGCTGCTGTAGGCTGGAGTTATTGCATTACACCAGGGCTGATGCTTGTACTAGGAAGCAAGTGCCTGCCATGTATGAAAACAGGAATAATGCTGTTACAAGAATGCCTGTAAATATTGTGGTCACTGCCTTTTGTGTGGGTTACATCAAGATTGTATTCAAACACTGACAGGTTAATTACATGTTTCAAAGCTTATTTACTGTGATCTGAGAGGAAAGTGTTATTAAAGGAGTGTTCAGCATCTAACAGTGCTTGTTTTCTCTTTCTTCTCCCTCCCCAATGTTTTCTCTAGCTGATTACTCCACATGCCATCCGTGTACAGACGCCTCCCCGACACATCCCAGGGGTTGTAGAAGTCACATTGTCCTACAAGTCTAAGCAGTTTTGCAAGGGAACGCCTGGAAGATTCATTTACACAGGTATGGATGCTTTAAATGTAAGGGGGAAAAATAGGGCAGGCAATATATCACCCTTGCTAGGGCTTCTGCTCTTGTCATTAAAAGCTGTGCTGTGTTATTTTGGCTGAGGACATCACTGAAGGTACCAGTTGAGGCTGGAGTCAGAGCTGGGGTGCTGTAGGGATGAATCTGAAAGCACACCAGTGTGGGACTTCTGTTTGCTTGTTTGTCCTCACAATGGGACATCTCTTTACCCAGGAGGGGAGAGGAAGGAGGGAAACAGATACTCCAGTACATACCAAACAAAGGAAGAGTGCAAACACAAGGGGCCAGGCACACAAACCCGCCTTGAGAAGGATCCTGCTAAACTTCTCCATCTCATGCTGTCCAGCAGGTGTTGCAAGGGTTCCAAGCCTGTTTGCCAGCCCATCTCACCATAACTCACTTGTCTCTGGCTTCCAGGGAGCCCAAGTAGCTCTCAGCCCAGTCAGGGCTGCAGACACAGCAACTTGCAGTGTGCTTTGGGGTGGTCTCCCACACTGGAGACCACTAAGTTCAGTGATTTGGCCTCAAAAAAACTAACAAAAAACTCTTGAACATTGCTGGTGCTGTCAGTGTCAAACCACTCTCAGTAGTTATAAGAATGGTCTGGGAAAGAAATCAAGCAGCAGCCTAACTTTTTAAAAAGGATGTGTGTCGTTGGTTCCTCTGAGGGTGTGTGCTACAGGAATCAGCAGCTTTGCCCTGGTTTTGATGTGCTTTTAATGCACTTGTCGTTGTTCACATCTACAGAAAGGACTGTGCTAGAGCTGTTTGCCTGAACTGTGCTTCAGCACAACCCAGTACAAATCATTTCCTCATCCTCAATTGCCCCTGGAACTTTAGGATATATCATAAATACTTGTGACTAAGGCATTCTGAGTTCCACTGGACTCACACGTTGCTCCAACTCTCAGTGTACACACAGGGACTTGAGGCAGAGTACAGAATTCTGTGCTCCAGCTGGGCAGGAAACTCTCATTTGAATTTTGTTAGCACTAAGCAAGTTGAACAAAGGTGCCTTATATTCTTTCTTGTCTTTTTCAAATACCCTCTCCCCCAGATGAGATTATTCACTGGGTTTCTTTAAACTGACTCTTAAAATTCTCACATATTGCCCTGCTGGCTGAGCAGCCAGCACTTGTGGAAGATGTGTGTGTTTATTTGGGAGCATTATGATTTCAGCAATGCGTGGGAAATCCAATATCGGACAATAACACATCATATCAAAAAATTAATTGGAGTTTTGTATGTGTTGGAACAAAAGGAATAGCAAAGGTCAAATTGATGGCTGGTACAAATTGATGGTGTGAACCATGACAGGAGGGTGTTGCCCAGAGCTTTGGGCTGTTTGAGGTGAATCCTTTCCCTTGCAGGAGGTTGTGCTCTCCTGCCTGTTGTCACCCCACTGGGGTGGCTGCCCCTGGGGCTGGTGAAATGGCAGGTGTGGATATGGAAGGGAAAAAAAAGGGCAAACCTGCTCCCCTTAACTTTGCAAAGAAATTTTTGATGACTTTAAATGTAAAAATGGGCTGAACCCATTTTGGGGTTGCTTTTCAGATCATCATTAATTAGCTTTTCCAGTGAAAAGGAGGGCGGCAGTTTAGCTTGTCTGCCCAGAAGCAGATGGCTGAATGTGGAAATAAAGCGTCCCAGTAGAGAGAGTGTTCCATGTATGCATTTTCTGGTTGGTGTTTAAAACACAGTATTTTTCATCCAGTAAATGGAAGTTATGAAATACTAAACAATAACGATAAAATCAAAGGCGATCCAGTCCATTCTCTCATTCAGTTTCTTACAGAGTTACAACAGATACAGAAAAGGTGTTGTGACTGAAATCCTACCTCACACAATTTGCATTTTCCTTTTAGACCCAGCCTGGAATTAAATGTAGCTTTTTAAAAAGGACTAAATGAAACTAAAATAAAAACAATTAATGCATCCTGACCTTCAGAAGTGCCTTCCAGCCCTTTAAACAAAATGCAGGTTCAGTACGTGCCTGCCGATTAGTTTTAGTTAATTGAAAATTATAGGATTGACCCAAGAGGAAAATTTTGTTTGCACTCCAATCACTTTTACAAATTAAGGAAAATTACCACAATTTTGTTTAGCTAAGGTTTCACACTGAGTTCACGAAATTAGCTCAGCCATCCCAACAAAGTCAGCACTTTGTTAGTGAGCACTAGAAAAAAACTAATAGTCTATGGTGTGTACAAACGAAGCATAGAAAAAGCTATGATGCTTTAGAGAACTAGGCCAAGTGGTTTTAATTAGGATTATTGGTTCATTGTAAGTTTTGAAGAACAATCAAACTAGCAGATTAGCTGTTTCTTTTAAAGCTAGAATTTCTTGCCATTCATTTTTCCCATGAGAACTTGTTTTAACTCCCACATAGCACTATTTTTTTTCTTTTTTTTTTCCTTTTTTTTTTTTTTTTTTTTTTTTTTTAACAAGGCCTGCAGGAAATGGACCAATTGGAAGTTGGGATACAGTAACATTCCCCAGCATCACTCCAGCCGATGGGAGTTTTTCACAATGTTCTTCAGTGAACTCAGTGTTCTGGAACATATTACAAAACCACAGAGGCCAAATGTTTTCTCAGAGGAGTTTGGCCTCTGTTTTTGGCCGAAAACATTTCAGCATCACTTGCTGCTTATTTACCCTGCTATTAGGAACAAGAAAAGGGGAGAGCAGAAAAAGCAGGGGGGGAGAAGCAAAAGAGAGGGTGTGTGAGAGGGAGAGAACGAGACCTGGGGTTTGTGGGCGGTGCAGGAGTTGATCAAGCGTAGTTTCCTTTCTGGTGAGAATGTCCCTGCTCGTTAATGGTCCCATTTTGTGGTCAGGTCTCATTTAGAAGAAATTATTTTTAATCAGTGTTCAACAAAATATCCCCTCAAGCCACCTGGCTGTAAACTGTTTTTTTCTTACTGTTAAGTAGTTAAGTTCTCAGAAGAAAATACCCAGTGACCCATTAATTTTAGCCTTTTTTTCCTCTTTAACTGCAAATAACTTAGTAACATGATCTCTAAGTAGCCCATGTGCCATCTAGGAATCAAGGTCACATATATACAGAAAAATCCTTGGTTTTGTGAGTATTTCTGAAAGAAATAAACCAGTGTCACACTGTGCTTACAAGAAAACATAAGTTTTTTATTTTCCATCTGCAGAGCGAGCCATTAGCATGCACTTAGAGAGCAATTATTTCTTAGATTTTAAGCTTTGACATTCCTGAGAGAATGTTATCAGAAACACAGAAATCTGAACACACCTTGAATGTGGGTTCATTTTGGAATAATAGTAAAAATCCATATTACACATAGAAATACCCAGACATGCTGTGGCACTGTTCATCTCTAAGTCTCTTCTGGCACTGGAAAGCACTGAATGAATTCGGCTTTGTGTCACAACTTGGGAGTCAAATGGGTGTCACTACCATTATTTTAGGACTGGAGAGACTGAGATAAAGGAAGAGATTAAAGGTACAAATCCATAGGTAGTTTGGCAAGGTCATTCAGGGTATATATGGTCGACTTACATAAGAAATGAGAGTTGGCACAGATAGGCCTTTGAGATTTTGTTTGGGTTTTTTTTAATTTAAAAAAAATTGCTACACCATGGACAAAATGAATTTAACAGATGACTTTTGCAGTGGTACTAAGCTGCAAGATTTGAGTGGGGTTGCACAACTCTAAATGAGATGAGAATTTATCTCACTGCATATTGGAAAGGACATATGGAGGGTCCATAAAAATGCATTATGCTGTGTCTTCTACCACCTGCTCAGTTTAAGATTTTATGCTTTTTTTTTTTCCCAAAACAGAGCAAAGGGGCCAGAAGTACAGAGCTGTGTCACTGAGGTTGTGTGCAACACGGGTTAATTCAGATTCTTGGCTGAGCAGTACCCCAAGCACTGCTCCTCCTTTTGGCAATAGGTGACATGCTTGGATACAGGTTGGAATTTAGGGACCATTTTAATTTGCATTAGGCTTGCAGGGAGGCTGTGGGCTGAACCCTTTGTGTGCTGACAGGGCTCCAAGAGGAGCAGGCAAAGCCCCCATGGGCCTTTTGGGGTTTGTTGTGAGCTCTGGGGTGGGATGTGTCTCTGGAAGTGCTGCTGATGGGGATGGCTGGATGGAGGGTGAGTGTGGGCACACAGGGCTGGGAGTAACCCCCATGCTGAGCTCTGGAACTGATGGGAATGGCTGGATGGAGGATGAGTGTGGCACACAGGGCTGGGAATAATCCCCATGCTGAGCTCTGGAACTGATGGGGATGGCTGGATGGAGGGTGAGTGTGGCACCCAGGGCTGGGAATAACCCCCATGCTGAGCTCTGTACTGCAGGGTAACTGTGGCAAAGGCTGAGCAGGACAGAGTGGACACTGCCAGGAGTGAGCAGTGTTTGTGTTACACTGTTAGGCCACTGTGTGTAGGGAGATGTGGAAATCCTGGTGCTGTGGAGGTCAGGATATTCACAGAATTTCTGGGAAACTGCATCCGTCTCTGAAATGTCACAGGGCTTCTCAGGGAGCTTTTCACTCCCCTACTTGCTACAAAGAAGAAATGGCGTCGTGGAAAATTCTTCTGAAAACATTTGAGTCTGTGTACAAAGGGGAAGGGCCTTGTAGATCACCGATTATTTGGGTAGCATTTCCAAAAGTCTCTGTTTTAGGTGATTTAATTTTCAGATTTTTAATTTTAGATGGTTTTATTCACAGAAGCACAGGAGTAGTTGTCTTCTGAGAATCGTTTTATTTTCATTTTTTTTAAAGTCAAAGGCCTTCAAGAGTAAGAGAATAAAAACTATCTGTTACCATCTAAAACTTCAGCCCATGGTCTTGGAAGCAGAGCTTGGAGTCATGTAGAGATCTGGTCAGAATTGGAACCATTTAAAAGCTGATCTCGAGTCTCCTAAATTTCCAACCTGGTAAATTTCAGTGATTTCCTTTGCTAGGAAAATTTTGTCTTTTCAAGAAAGCACCAA